TCCATTGCCACCTTCCTCCTGGAACCCACCTTCCCCACAAATTCTCACCGGTCCACCTTGTAGACCTTTCCAACCATCTCCCCTGCGTGGCCACCTTCCTTCTGGAACCCAGCTTTTCCACGTCCACCCACCTTGCCATTCTCCGTCTGCACGGTGACCATGGCTCCTTCTCGGCTTATCACTTTGGCCTTAACAAATTCCTCTTTCTCGTCGGGCACGAAACACTCGTTCCGGCTGTCGAAGGGCCGAGTCTGGGCTTCGAGACGTTCCTTGTCCGACTTGCGGAGGTAAGGAGCCGCGGCCCCGAATTCGGCCATGAGTGTGTCACCCATTCTGCGCCGCCGGCGGGAAGGAAGAAGAAAAGGAGGCAAGAAAAAAGAGATGTAAAGCGAGGGGACGCATAAACACACAACCTGGAGTGAGTGTTGGAGGGTGGCACATGCACCTTAGGGGTGCTAAACTTTGACCTAGGCTGAGGTTTTTAAAAAGTTACTCTGCAGGTAGTCTTCGACTTACAACAGTTCATTTAGTGACCATTGGAAGGTACAAGACCCTGAAAAAGTAACTAATGACTGTTTTTCACACTTACGACTGTTGCAGTATTCCCCAGGGACATGTGATCAAAATTCAGACACTTGGCCACTGACTCCTATTTATGACGGTTGCAGGATCCTGGGGTTACGTGACCACCTTTTGCGACCTTCTGACAATGGGCCTTCTGGAAATCCGGAAACGGGCCTGTTTCTGGCTTTTGGAAGGCCTCCATAGCCTGGGGGTAGCTGTTTTCGCTCCCCCAGAGGCCCAAGGAAAGCCTCTGGACCCTTGGGAAGGCGAAAAACGGCCCTCCCAGAAGTTCCGGTAGGCCACGCCCACCATGGCCACACCCACCCAGAAACCGGGCAGCAAATCAGTTGCTGGGATTTTTTTAATCCCGCCTCTGCACACATGCAAACACAAACATACACACTCCTTGCTACCTGTGCCTTTGCTTATACAAGTAGTCCTCGACTTACGACCATAATCCACCCCCAACTTCCATTGCTGAGCAAGAGAGTTGTTAAGTGAACTTTGACTCCTTTTACGACCTCACTTGCCACAGCTGTTAAGTGAATTACTGAGGTCGTTAAATGAGTAACACAGTTGTTAATTGAATCTGTTTCCCCCCCACACACACACACATTGAATTTGCTGGTCAGAAGGTCTCAAAAAGGGGATAGCAAGACCCTGGGAATGCTGCAACTGTCATAAATACGAGTCAGTTGCCAAGCGTCCGAATTTTGATCATGTGACCCTGGGGATGTTGCAACGGTCGTAAGTGTGAAAAACAATTGTATGTTTATGACTTAATTTTTCCAGTGCTGTTGTAACTTAGAACAGGCACTAAATGAATGGTTGTAAGTCAAGGACTTCCTGTATACGTATTTCTCAAACTTGGCGACTTTAAGATGGGTGGACTCCAACTCCCAGAATTCCCCAGCCAAAGCAAATTCCATGAGGCAAAAAAATAGAAGTGTTTCTCAAAGTTGGGTACTTTAAGATGGTGGACTTCAACTCCCAGAATCCCGCAGCCAGCTTTGCTGCCTGGGGAATTCTGGGAGTTGAAGTCCACACTCATCTTAAAGTGGTAAAGCTTGAAAAATACAGATTTTTTTTTTAACATTTCTATCATGGTGTAATCCAATCCGTCAATCAAATCTTTATTAAAATCATAGACTTTTGCTCAAATGTGGTCTCCATTTAGCTCTTCATGACCATGCATAGAATGTGGGGAGGGGATATCAGAATTTTTTCCAGGCAGTGTTGCTAAAAATTACACTTAGGGAAACTACATTCTTATTTTTGCTATATTTTTTCTGAGAATAAATCACAGAATTTCTCTAAAATCAATGCTTCAATCATCCTGATTATTATCTCTCCTGGAAATCTGGGATTGAGTGTCTCTATTATCTTTTCCAGCTTAACAATAATGCAATTTATCCCTCAGTGAATGTAATGTTTGAATTTTATCAATACGTTTTTCAAGGAGAGCAATTGACTGCCTGTTCTGCTTTCTCAAAGGGTAAATTATATAAAAATCTCCACTGTTCAAGCCATTATTAATTCAGCTGCCAGTGATAAAAACAAAATAAGTTCCTTGTGAGGTAATTTGGCATTAATCACCTCAAAAATATAAAATCATGCCAATTTCAGAGCCCAATTTAGATCTAAGCCTCGCTTCTTTGAAGATTTTCTCCCAGAAAGGCATCGCTTTTTCATTTTACCCACCGTTTCTGGGGGAAAAAAAAAATCCATTCTCTTGACGCCCCTCCAACATTTTCAAAAATAATTGTGAGGTGTTTGCGCTCTCTTATAAGAGGGAAATGCCAACATCGCCACCAAAATGCTTGCACAAAAGCTGATAAAATGCCCCCAGATTTTCAAATGTTTGCCTTTCATGCCTTTCATTTCTCCACGTTTGAAAGGAATGAGCTCTCCACACATCCCTGAGCTGGCAGATCATTAGAAAACACAGAATAACAAGATTCGGAGGGACCTCAGAGGTCATTTAGTCCAACCCCTTCTGCTCAAGCAGGAGACCATTACGCAGGTATATAATTGA